GGGGGGTTCTCGGGCTCCTCTCGCTGCCCTGGCTAGTCTGGCAGGCCAAACCCAGCTCAAAAGGGAAAAGAATTCCTCCCCTCAGGTGAGGCTCGAGTCCTGTCCCTTGGGCGACAGCAATTCTGCGTCCATCCGATGCGCAAGGGGCGTGACAGAGGGCTTTCCTAGCCTTGGAGGAGGTGGAAGTCTCACCTCCGCCACGGAAGTGCTGTTCACTTCTGGCTGCGTTTAGCAAAGCGATGGCCGACTGGTGTGGCATCGAGAACGGCACCTGGCGTTCTGCGTCTGCAGGGACAGGCGGCCAGGATCACAGGGTGGCCCAACCGTACTAGTGAAGACCCACCCACCCACCCATTTTAGGGGTCTTGCACGTGTGAGCCAGGCCCAAGGGACAGTGGTTTCTTCCATCGAGCCCTCACGGCTGCCACCTTGCCTTTTGGGTATTACCACCACCCTGGATTCCTCCCCTCCCCATATCATGCCTGGCCTTCCCTCAGTGATCGCACTCACGTTGTTGGATTCCACCCCCACCCCCCCTTGTGAACTTGCAGGGAGACCAGGAGGATTTTAGGAAGTGGTGGTGGAGCTTAGAGGTGCCAAATTTTGTTTTGTGGCGAAGTGGACATATTTTTGTGCAATTTTTGAGTGGCTTAAAATTTTGTTTTATTGGTTTTGACTTAGACCCAATAGCACTCCAAACCAGGGGCCCCCAAATTTGGCAACTTTAAGACTCAACTCCCAGAATTTACCGGTCTTCTGGGAGTTGAAATCCACAAGTCTCAAAGCTGCCCAGGTTGGGAGACCACTGCTTTAAAGGAACCGTGTTTTGGTAAGCAAGTGAAAGGCACTTCAACCCTGGGCCATCCGGCAGGATCCTCCCCTCCAGCGCTGTGCTCCCCGCCTCCTCTCGATGGGGAAGAGGGAAGGGTTTTTGCCCACAAGTGGAGACCCCACGGCTGGGCACTGGCTTTTTGCTTTGAGGAAGGGCAGAGGAGGGGCCTGCCCGCCCAGGGCAACCTTGACCTCATGGCTTCTGGTCTGCTCCTTTTCCGCACGGGGCCAGACCGAGTGCAGATGCTGACAGCTGAAGGCAGAGACTCCAAAGGGGGCAAAAAGAGCCAGGAGACAAATGGGAGGCGGGGGATTTTTCTAAGCTTGATTTTTAAGGCTCTGCCTTGGCCTCTTTATGTGGGGCTATAGTTCTGCCCCCATGCCATGTGCATTTCATCACCATTATGACTCACATCATTTTGCTGTTGGGGAAGCACAGATAGGAGGGTACTTAGGAGCCCCGTTGAGTCTCCAGGGCTGTCGGGTGAGGCTGGGTTGAATCCCAGTGCTGAGATAGCATTAGCAGCAGCAGCAGCACTTAGACTTATATACTGTTTCACAGTGCTCTACAGCCAGCCCTCTCTAAGCGGTTTACAGACTCAGCCTCTTGCCCCCAACAATCTGGGTCCTCATTTTACCGACCTTGGAAGGATGGAAGGCTGAGTTGATCTTGAGCCTGGTCAGGATTGAACTGCTAGCAGTCGGCAGAGTCAGCCTGCAATGCTGCATTCTAAGAGGAAGGAAGGAAGGAAGGAAGGAAGGAAGGAAGGGAGGGCAATAGCACTTAGACTTCTATACCACTTCCCAGTGCTTTTACAGCCCTCTCTAAGCAGTTTACAGACTCAGCCTCTTGCCCCCAATAATCTGGGTCCTCCATTTATCAACTTCGGGAGGATGGAAGGCTGAGTCAACTGGAGCCTGGTGGGCTGCCAAATTGCAGGCAGCCAGCAGTCAGCAGAAGTAGCCTGCTGTACTGCACTCTCACCACTGCGCCACCGCGGCTCATGAGATGCTTCTCTTCCCGCAGTTCCGCCACAAGGTCCACTTCGAAGGGATGGAGCCGCTGCCCTCCCGCTCCTCCAGCCAGGACTCCCGGTCATTGCAGGGAGCCACTCCCAGCGCCGCCTCTGAGAGCTCCCGGGCGTCCACTTCCTCCAGCCAGCTGGACGGACTCAGCCTGGCCACCAGCACCTGCGACAGCACGGAGCTCGATGTGGAGATCCAGCAGCTCCTCTCCCTCCTGCAGACGCTGCTCACCCAGTTCGACCGGGTAAACGGGGCAGCCGAGGAGGTGTACGGCTTGGAGTGCCAGCTGGAGAGCAGCCGGAACCGGCAGGCCAGGCGGAACGGCAGGCTGAGGGCCGAGAGGCCGGCCAGCCTTTCCCATCCCATCCGCACCGCCCCTGCCTGCCTGTCTTCCGAGCCAGGCCCCAGCAGCCGGCCTGTCCTGCCCTCCCGGCCCCTGAGCAGCCCTGCGGCTTTCCGGGTCATCCGCAGCAGCCCAGGCGCACTGCTGATGCCGCAGAAGATGTTGGTAGCAGCAGCCAAAAGGAAGAGGCCCCTGCAGGCCAACAACCGAGTCCACCCCAGCGGCAAGTAAAGCAGACAGGAGATGCTTCTACTCCAGCCTCGGGCTCTGTCTCTCTGGTCCCTTCTGGTGGGGGCTGCAGGTCGACTCTGGAAGCTGCAGGGACACCAACCGGCCGCCAGAGCCACAGCCTTTCCCCGACTTTTGGCTCCTGCAGAGGCTGAACAGCCCTTTCCTGGCCTCCCTGCGTGGGGTGGGGGGTGGGGCAGGGGGAGGCAAGGAGCGAGAGAAGGCCAAGTCAGGTGTGGTGTGAATCCCCGCCTCCAGGGAGAAGAAAGGACTCTCGGAGGGCGAGAAGTAAAAAAAAGTGTTATTTTTCACAGAAGCTTTAGTGCAAACAAAACCAGGTGTTTGTGTGTGTGTGTGTGTGAGAGAGAGAGAGAGAGAGAAAATGAGAATGAACATGTATGTTTGTAATGCAACCGGTTCCTTTTTTGTAAGTCTGTTCAAGGGAGGAGCTGAGCGCAATGGCCAGGCTGAGCCTGGAGCGGAAGGACTTTTATCCCTGAGCAGAGTTGAAGACATTGGCAGACGGTGCGGAGAAGCTGGACTTTGGAGACAGGAGAACGTGGGCCTGAAAGGACAAATCCGGCAGAATGGAGCATACACTGTGTATATAAATCCAAAGAGAGGGTCGGTCTGAGATTTTTTTTTTTCTAAGGGATCCCTTATTTTTGGATCATTTGGTAGTTGAAGCCTCTCCTCTGCCAGTCTTGAAGATGGCAAAAAAACGTTTTATGGGTCTAAAAACTAAGCAGGCTGGAAGGGGGTGGTGGTGGAGTGAGAGCTCGCTGCATGGAGAGGACCTGGGGAGCCGGTTTCCCCAGGTCTCGTCCCGGCAGCCGTTCTCCATAAAGGTGTATTACGTCGGTTGTGTGTGGTTTTATGGTTGAGGAACACGACAGTTTATTTTTATAGGGTCCGTTTGTGTGAATGTTTGTTTTGAGGGTGCATGAATCTATTATATTCATTCATATGGTTTACTAGTTGTATTTACTGCCAGCACTTTAATCTATGCTTGCCTTAGCTACCAATGACACATGCAACTTTTAAAGAGCAGGATAATAATATATCATGGAAGCAGTATTTTTGTTTCTTGTAGATCATAATTTAAAACAGGCCACTGGACTATGACCGTGTGTGGGCCACTTGTTCCCATGTCTTGGCAGTGACACCCCCGCCCCCACCCCAAGAACTCCCATTGTGGTGGCAGCCTGGAGATACTGGAATGGCTGCGATGTTGGGCGGAAGAGGAGGAGCTTAGATAGCCAGAAGTGGGGAATTGTGGCCCCTTTAGGACTTGTGGATTTCGACTCCACAAGGCATTCTGGGAGTTGAAGCCCACCAGCCATAAAGAGGCCCTAGTTCCCCAACCCTGGCTAAAGCAACGTGTGTTTGTGTTCCTGGTGCACACAAACGGTTGCTTGCACAGATTCAGAGCTGGTGGAGAACGAGCCCATCGACTCATCCTCAGTCTGTTCTAGCTCCCAGATCGGAGCTCGGCCACCGGGATGGCCAGGTGACCGTTGCAGGCTGGGCCCTGAAGGTACCTGGCCACCTGCTCTCTTCCGGGTCCCGCGAGGACTAGGATTGCGAGAGGCCCGTAGGGAGGCCCGGAAACCAGCCCAGGCAGCCACCTCCACGTCATTCTTTGGCTTTAATTGGGGGGGGGGGGAATCCCTTCTGTTGGACTGCTACGGCTGGTCCGTGCAGGCCCCCGTCTTCTTCCTTTCCTCACGACAAATCCCCGTCGTATTCCAGTGGCCGGTTTAATGTTATGTGTGTTATAATTTATATGGGATTTTTACAAGAGGGAAAAAAAAAATGTATATTTTTGTATGTTGGCTGTTTTTATAGCAGTGGTTTTGTGCTCAACACGTGTAGATGGTAGTTATTTAAAAAAAAAAAAAAAAAGGTGACATCAAAAGCCTCGCTTAAGCGTTGCTGGCACGGGGGCCGGAGGAAGTTCGGAGATGCCAGGGCGGGAGGCGGGACCTCCTCGCAGGGCACCCCTTGCAAGGCACCGCACATGCAACAGGGACCCCCCCCCTCCCACAGCCCCCCTCCCCACCTGCTTTCCCAAAACCTCAGATAAACAGTTGCCTTCGCTACCTAAGAGTTTGCAAGGAAGATGTTATTTCTTTTCAGGAGCTGCTTTTGGAGGCTGTAACCACCATTCCTAACACTCAGACAAAAACAAAAAATGCATTTACCTGTTTTTAATATTATTTATGAGGGTGCTATTGTCCAACTTCGTATCGTATTCCAGACTGCTTTAGCAGAAAGGAAATTCCCTACCTTTGATGGAGGCAGGAAAGAAGGCTGGGTGGTATGAGAAAGTGAGGAAGCTGGGGGAAAGAAAGAGTCAGGATTTGTTTTGCTAGCTTACTTGTTGGGCCAAAGTTCTCAGGCTTGGCCATGATCACATGGGAAACGAGGGAAGCCATTCGGGGCCACTTTTTGGCCCTCCTCTTCCCAAGGGCCCAGCTGAGATCCCTCCCGCCCTTCTTGCCAGCTGGAAACGCAGCACCTTAATGGGGGAGGGGGCACCGTGGAGCCCTAATGCCAACCCAGAGCTGAAGGCAACGGTCCATCGGGCTCTTGAAGCGACAGCTGGCTTGAGGTTGGCATCCTCTAAAGAGCACAGCCTAAAACAGGCCAGTAAGTGAAGGGGAGGGTGGACAGGTACAGCTTGAGACAGAGCAAGGGGATTTTTACCCTTGTGCGGGTCAGTTTAAAGTTCTCGTGGGTTATTTAAAATGTTGGGTACTTGTAAAGGATGGGACAAGTCGAGGCGGGAGCAGGAAGGAGCTGGTGAGGAGGAGGAGGAGGGTCAGGGGCGGCGTCTCGGGTTTGGCTGCAGCGAGAACTACAAGAACAGCAGCAAATGCACCACGGGGGACACCCTTCGACAACATCCACAAAGCTACACCTGGTCCCTCCTGCCAGAAAACAAACATTGAATGTATGTTTGGGCCTCAGTGGCCAGTTTCCTATTTATTCCTGCCTGGAATCCCGCCCAGCAACACAGTTTACCCAAACAGCTTGGAAGTAGTGAGAATGTAAGAAGCAAGTTGTGCTTTATGTTAAATCTGCAAAGAAAGTATTTTCTTTTATACTGGTGAATTAGCTTGACAAGGTCCTATTAAAAGACTATGGACTGCTCCGTCTGGTCTCTCTCTCTCTCTCTCTTTTTAAACCAAGGTTGGGCAGCTAATTTTTCCAAGGGGCCACGTGAGAAACTGGGAGGAGGGCTCTATCGTCCTTACGTTCTTCTTGTGGGCCGCTGGCTGCCAGCAGAGCTAGCAGCGGAGTCAGACAAGGCGGAGGGAGAGCCTGGGCCGGCTTTGGAGCCTTTGTTTGGAAGGGTCGGATGAGGAAAGGAGAGACAGAGACCGAGCCGGGGGCCTTCTGTCCTCCCCCAGGTGGAGACGCAGCAGCCGTCTTCGGGGCCCGAGCTGAGTGAGGGGGAGGAACAGAGATCCACGTAGGAAAAGAGGGGAGAGCAAAAGAAATCTATAAGCCGGCTCTCGGGGAGAGGCAGAAACGGACACTAGCCAGCCGCTCTCCCCGGCTGGGAAATAAAGAGGAGGGGTTGGAGAAGGGCCGCTTGTCACAGGCTTTCAAGTATACAGCAAGCAATTCTGATTCCTTGGCCAGAACCAGGTTTGTTGGGACTAATTACGTTTGGTTTTTGTTTATCCGTGTGAATAAAAGACTCTTACTGCCCTGTTTGGAAAAGGGGGTTGTTTTTACTCACGAGTAGGAGGCTTATCATTGCTTGCCAAGGCTGGTCAGAACCGTTCTGCTCTATTTCTGATCAACGGGTCGCCTTTATGTTCCAAAAGCTCCACAACTGCATGTGGGCTTTGGACTTGAAAATTAAATTTAATTAATTAAAAATTAATCAAAATCAACCTGAATGAGGGCCAAAATATCCCCCTCCTCCCCGAAAACAAAGGCCAAGCCATGGGTTTCAGAGTGAACCCAACTGGCCCCATCTCTGTATCGGACGCAGGACCCTCGTCTGAGTCCTCCCTAAACTCCCAGACCGGCCCAGGTTCCTCCCCACCGTCTGACTCTGCCGCTGTCTCCGCAGGCTCCCACAACACTTGTAGACATTTCTTTGCAATGCAGACGTTGTCTCAGAGAGCACTGAAGCTGCTCATGACCTGGGGCCAGGCTACCTGAGGGGACATCTCTCAGTTGTTTCCGCCCATCAAATTCGGTCTATCGGGGTGGGGATGCTTTGGGCCCCGTCACCCAAGGCGTGTCGGCTGTGGAGACCAGGTGGGCCTTCTCTGCCACAGCCCTCCGGAACATTCTCCCTCCAGAATGAGCCCAACCCTGTGCGCCTTTACTAAGTCTGCAAGGACTTGACTATGTGCTTGGGCCCCCAAGTGTGTTAAGGGCCCCACCCCTTGGCTTATTAACATCCGTGGCAACCATGGCTTTCAATTCGTTTGTATGCTTTTATGATGTACGCCACCCAGAATCACCGGTTGAGGTGGGCTGTAAGAAGAACATAGCAAAAATTTTATTGTGGAATGAATTTTGGAGTTTGTCAGCAACAAAGGAGTTTGTAGTTTCCTCCCAGCACCATGTGGCAAGCTACAGACCCCTCCCCCAGAGGGCCCTTGGGCCCAACCCGCTTCAAAGGCTCATCCAAGGGTCCCCCAGTCATGCCAGGCAATGGGCCTTCTGGGCCCAGGGAGAATCCGAGTGGGCAGGCAACCAATCCTCCCCCAGAGACTGATGCGAGAGAACGACCAGCCAACATGTTTGGTTTGGGCAGTTCAGACTTTAATACACATACAGGTAAAGGCCAACAAACCAGAGAGCACCTGTGCCGTGAGCAAAGGTTCCTACAACGTGTCAAAACGGTCCCTGGTTGGCTAATATACAGTCGAGGTTCACAGGCCCAAGGATGCAGAAAGACAAATGGGGGTGACTGTGTCCTACACACAGAGCCTGGAGCAACTCCAGCGGAAATCTTAACATGCAGAAAGTGGCAGCACAAGAGAACAAGGAATGAAGACAGCCCAATTAGGCTGTTTTACCTATTAGAGGGGGATGGGGGCTGACAAAGTAGAGCACTGAGAAGAGCAAAGAAGGGACTGAACCCCCATTTTCCTGGCCGCAGTGTCTGCCCTCCCCCTAAGTAGCTAATCTCCCCCACCCAATGACCCCCAGGGTCCTTTCCTTCCTTCAGTTGGAGGGCACAGCTGCGGTCCCTTGGAGAGGGGGCACTGATCGGGCCCTGCCAGCTCAGGTCACCCCTGAACCCCACAAGGAACCGGAGGAGGAAAGATCTGCTCTGATTATCCGCCCACAAAGCAGAGCTTCTGGATTTGGCCGGCAGCCGCTTCCGCAACTGGCCTTTGAAGAGGCGGCTTGACAGCATCCGAGGAAAGGCCCGAGGGGCTCCGGAGCGAAGTGGACGGCAGAAAGAAGCCTGGTAAGGACCACCTCAAGGGAGGATTGTGATCGAGCGGGAAGGACCAGCAAGAACAACAACAGCAACATCCTAGAACAACCCCGCCCGCCCACCCTCCCTCCCCGCAAGCACCGAGTGCTTCACTCTCCTGCTCAACACAACAAAGCGGATGTGGAGTTAGACCATCATGGAGCACATGGCGGGCAGCCGGGGCAAGGGAACCAGAAGAACCTTCTGCTGAGGGCCTGGTCAAGCCTGCTGGGCAGCTCTGGAGCCGGCTGCCTGCAGGGCCCCCGCAGGCTGTGCCAATCCTAAGACCCCTCCTCAAATCTGGGTGAGGGGCAGGAACTTCTGGTAGTAGCTCTTGGTGACGTCCATCATCAGCTCCTGTGTGCACTCGGGCAGCTCCCCCGAGAAGAGCCCTGGAGAGGACAGGAAAGTGAGCAACGCGCCGGCCCACCTGCCACCCCCTCCACCCCCCCAGCACCTTGCCCCTTCCAGCTTACCTGGGCAGCCGGAGAAGACCGTGAAAGGCGGGACCACTGTTTCCGGGGGCAACACTGTGTTGTCAAGGATTCTGCAGCAGTCTTTCAGGACACACCGGCGACCCTAAAAGGATACCCAGGCACGAAGGTGTCATCCGCTGGCACCTCTGGGCTTTTAAGCAGGAAGAGCTCTGCTCTGCAGGCGTCAGGCCAACGGGAGGGAGCCAGCCTCAAGTTCCTGAGGGTTTCTCAAGCTTCAGATGGGAGGACTTCAACGGCCAGAAATCTCACGCTGGCTGGGAAGTTATGAGAGTTGAAATCCACACACCGTAAAAGTTGCTGAGCTGGAGAAACAGGGCTTTCAAGGGGCCTCTGTAATGTCAGCTACATGCCAGGAATCTGAACTACCTGGAGCAGGGGTCTCCAACCTGGGCCACTTTAAGATGTGTGGACTTCAACTCCCAGAGTTCCTCAGCCAGCTTTGTTTTGGGAGTTGAGATCCACACATGGCCGAGGTTAGAGAGCCCCGCACAACCATGCTTCAGGGGTTGCTGTCATAACCCCAGAAACGATAAAACACACTGGGGCAGATCCATAAGAAATGGAGAGAAGGTAGACATGAGCTTGGAAGAAGCTCTAGGCCAGCGACCCCTCCCCAACCTTTTGGGCCCCAGGGACCGGTTCCGTGGAGACGGGTTTCACCTGCTGCCTGTATCCCATGGATGGGGCTTTGCTTGTTCGTATGGCCTGGTTTCTGGCAGGCTAGGGGCCAGTGCTGGACCCATGGACTGTGGGTTGGGGACCCCTGCTCTAGGCCACCCAACAGAGCCTCTGAAAAGCCTCCAAAGGGCCTATAACCTTCATGAACTGGAATAGAGCTTGGTAACCAGGTCAGCCAATGAATAGGCAGAGTAACTGAGTCAGCCAATGAAGACTATTTGGAAACTGAAACTAGAAGTAGCCTAGGCATGGCTCTATATTAAGCTCTGCAGCTATGTTAAGCTCCGAGTCTGTCTATTGAAAATGAAACTGCTTCTCCTCTGCTGTGTGACTTGCTTGCCTGCTGAACTAAAGTGAGTTCTGCTCTGAACCTGAAACATATTGGAGAAATCTACAACTGATATTGTAAAATTTACTTTGTGTGTTTATAAAGAAGTTAAATGAAGCCTCAGTCACCTGTGTTTACTTTTCTGGTGCTGAATTTATGCTGCAATACTCTGAACATGACTTTGTTGGGATTTTAACCCTGAGAGCTGAAGCCAGAATACCCAGTCACATGGGATCTTGTGCTGGGGCCACAAAGCAGGTAAACAAGTGTTGTGGTTTCTGCCGACACAGAGCAACCAGCTTGCTTAGCTAAAGGCATCAAATATGGCAGAAAGCGAGCCACGTTAGAAGTGAGATTTGAGGCAGAGAGGTCCTCATCGCCTGAAACCAAGCAGGTACGTGCACTTACGATGACGCAGTTCTTGCCTATGTGGACATAGGAGCCAATCTGAGCGGCATTGACAACACAGTCTTCCTCAATGAAGACGTGATCCCCGATGTGCAGAGGGAAGAAGGCGACCCTGCAAAGAAAGGAAGACAGGAGCTTCGTCAGCAGCAGCCCTTCCATGCTCAGGGCTGAACAAAGCCAGGCCACAGGCCTTGTGCCTGGATGCAAGTTTCACCCAGATGAGAGGGGGAAGAATGCAAGAATCCCAAGGCCCCTCCCAACCCCAACCTCACCCTGAACAGTTCTTGAGGGTTCCTTTCACCCAGGCACCGGCCCCTCCCTCCCTCCCTCCCCAGTGGCAGCCAAGGCAAGAAACAGCAAAAGGAGATGGGAGGCATAGCTGGATGGGGAATTCTGGGAGTTCTGAAGTCCCTAAAGGTGCCAAGGTTGAGAAACAATGCCCTAGAGCATGATAGGTGGCCTATCAATGTTATATTTATATGTATAAAAGCACGTTATAACATAAATAGAATGCATACATGTTATATTTATGTGTTCTATTTATGTCATAACATTTAGGTGCTTTTATACATATTCATATAAACATATATGTATATACACTTCTACATATATACAGATGCATATATACACACATGTATATATACATATGTGTGTGTGTATAATGTATGTATGTATATGTGTGTGTGTATGTGAGAGAGAGAGCCTGTTATGTGCACAGTGGCTAAATTGAACAATGAAGCATAAAGGCGAATCTCTCTTCAATGGCAGTTTTTAGACTCCGATGTTAGCAGAAAGTTAAGGGGGTAATACAGTTTACGTTCGGGAGATCGTGATGTCTGTCTCTTCTTTTATAGCTGCACCTCTCAACACAACTCATATTTTTAGGATAGTATACACACATACAAATGCACGCCTATATCTACACATACACACATGGGTGTATGTTTAAAACACACACATACACCCACACCCACACGCATATACATACATACACATATACAGATGTGTATGTATGTTATATGTATGTGTATGTGTGTGTATGTATACACACAGACACACACAGCCAGACGAACACAATACAGAAGCCTGATGATGGCAGATGAGATTCTGCCGAAAGTTTAAAAGCACAACTACAATGACGTGGGAAAATACCCGAACAAAGCTGAATACCATACATATATACATATATGGCATTCAGCTTTGCTTTTAAAGTTGTAGCAACCTTTCGGCAGAATCTCATCTGCCATCATCAGGCCTATGTATTGTGTTCATCTGTTCATCTCTAGAGTTCATCCAGATGAAGACTATACAGAAGCCTGATGATGGCAGATGAGATTCTGCCGAAACGTTGCTACAACTTTAAAAGCACAACTACAATGACCGTGGGAAAATACCCAAACAAAGCTGAATACCATACATGTAAGTACCCGCGAAAACTTGAGAAAACATATACATATATATATACATACATACATACACACACACACACATGTAGGGAGGCGGGGGTGGTGGTGGTGGTCAGCCCTCCCCCGCCCTCCTTACCCTTTGCTGAACTTCTTGAAGGGCGGCCGGATGACGCTCCGGCTCTTCACCACGCAGTGCCGCCCGACGCGCACGTTGGCCAGGTCCCCGCGGATGATGCAGTCGTTCATGACGATGGTCTGCGGGAGGGCGGAGAGGCGCCTGGAGGGGGGGCGGCCGTGGGGGGGGGGCGGCGGGGCGCCCGGGGCTCTTGCCCTTGGAACCCTCCCCCCCTTTGCCGCCCCCTCCCCCCTTTCCTCCCCCTTGCAGGGAGGGGCGGCGGGGGGGGCCCTCCTTCCCTGGCCGGCGGGGCGGGGGGTCGGGGGAGCGTCGACGGCCTTCTCCCGCCCCCTCCCCCGCCTCCTCCTACCCCCCCCCCCCGGTCCCGTGCTCGCGTCCTCTCACCTTGCCGTTGAGCACGATGTTCTGGCTCCCGCACAGCACCGACTGCCGGCTCACCTTGTTCCCGGAGGCCTGCCGGGGAGGGCCGCAGGGTCACCGCCCGGCCTCCGCCCCCCCCTCACCCCTCCCCCGGAGGCCGCGCGTCGTGAGAACCCGCCTCCGCCCGCCCGCCCTCCCTCCCTCCCCGCGCACCGTCTCGATGTACTCGGACTTGTTGTAGAGCATCTCGCCCAGCTCCATGGCGGCGCCCGGTACGGCCCGTCCGCGGGAACGGCCCCGCCCCTCCCGGGCCCAGCCGGCTTCCGTACTTCCCCCTCCCCGGCCAATAGCCGCGGCTCGCCAGTATCGCGGGTTCCCATTGGGCGCGGCGCCTGCGGGAGGCGGGACCAAGCGCCTTTTTTGTGTGTTTATTTTGCACTTGGCGCGAAAGGGGCGTGCGCGTGCGCAGGAAGGCGAGCGGGAGTGCGAGGATGGAGGGTCTCGGCTCGGCGGTTCTGACCCCGCAGCAGAAGGAGCAGGTGGGCGCCGCCCGGGGGGCCCTCCTCCGGCCTTCTCCCGAAAGAGAGAGAGAGAGAGAGGGCGGGCGGGAGGACGGGCAAGGCAACTAGGAAATTTCCTTCCCCGCTCTCCTCCGCCTTACGCGCAGCCTGCGGAACTCTCCGCCACAAGATGCCGGGGAGCGAAAGAGACGCCCGCCACGCATGGGAAAGGCTCGGGGGTGGCCGAACTGGGTTGAAAAGGCTCCCCCGGGCAGAGAAAGGGATCCGGTGCCCTTCCTTGGGAATAGAGACTCCTGCTGGAGCAGGGGGTTGGACTAGATGACCTCCAAGGTCCTTTCCAATTGTTATTCTATGATTCTATGATTGAGCTGCTGCGAGGGAGGGAGGGAGGTCCGCTCCCTGCAGGAGGAGAAACCTTCCCCAATTCGGGCAGCTCAGCCGGGAACTGAAAACTTTTATTTGCTTTCCCAGCAGGATTCATGTCGATGGCTTATTTATTTTATTTATCTATTTTTATTTATTTATTTAAATAGTATTTAAATATTTCAATTTTATTTTATTTATTTATTTTATTTTAGTATCTCATGACTATCCCCACGTGTGGTTCCTTGTGGTTGATGGTGTCTTTTTACGGTGACTATGATCATGATCTCTCATCACTTATCGCTTGTGCACCAGAGACAAATTCCTTGGGTGTCTGGTCGCACTGGGCCCATAGAGAAATGCCTGTACTGGACCCTTATTAACTTATTCCCCCTCGGGAGAGTTAATCCCTGGGACCAGATGGTGGACGATTCCCAGTCATTTGAAAATAATACGTGCGCATAAAACAGTGCACAAAACATTATGGAGTCCATTTCTGAGTAACATAAACTAATAATCCATACTATTTATATGCCCACAGACTCCCGGTGTTTCTGGACGGTTTACAATTACTAAAGCATTTAAAAACCAAGAACAATTTAACACACACACACACACACACATACATACACACACAATAGCACAAGTCAAACAACAATGATGGCAAAGGAAAAGTTGGGAGCGAAAGAAAACTTAAGGAGACCTGGGTTTTCAAGGCCCTTCAAAATGCCAGTCCAGGGGGGGGGGGTGCTGTTCAGGTTTGGGGGTGGGGGGGATCCCATTCTAGAGCGCTGGCATTGCTACAGAGAAGGTGCGCTTCCAGGGTCTAGGCAGGGGGCATCATTTAATTGGGGTTGCCCCCCCCCCCATAAGGGATAAAAGCCAACCTTTGGGGTTGGCTTCTTTGCAGGAAGCCAAGAAGTTCTTTATGCTCAAGAGTCCTCATTGAAGCCCCGCTTACTCTGGTTTGATTTTTGGACACTTCTGACTTTGGATATTTATCTGCATTTGGTCTTTTGTTCTTGGCAGCCTTTCGCAACCTTGAAAGGGTTTGTTCTTATCTGGGACAATTAGTTTTGAATGACTCTTGGCTGTGAATGTATAGAATTCACAGCGCCGCATTAAAAAGGTTTGCTTTTATACATACTTTGTGTTTGTTTGATTTGAACAAGGCTTGGGTCAGAACACTTGCATTCAAAAGGGTGCAAATGACCAGCTGTCTGCAAGGAATATAAATCCTTCCATTCCCTACCATCTAGTCAGAGCTGAAGAAGCTTCTGAGATGAGAAGTGAAATGCCTTCAAAGAAAAAATAAGAAAGTCTAGTTGCCTCCTGATTAAAAGCACTTCTGGGACAACCATCATCTGGATGATGGAGAATCTCCATAGACATAAATCTAAATAGAATTATATGGTTGCTGTCTAAGACTTTCAGTTACTTTTCAAATTAAACATGCCAATTATTTAACAATCGTTTTGTCTTCTAGCTGAAAGAAAAACTGGCTGTATTGAAAAGAGAATACAACAGAACATTCCACAGGTTGCAGGTGGGTGAATAAAAGGGATTCTCTGCTGAAGGACAATCTCTTGGGGAGCAGAAATCAGCAGAAATGGACTGATTTTCATATTGACTGGAAAGCAAAGCAATGTGACTGCTACCGTTTTCATTTTCACAGCGAGCTGAGAGAGCGGCGAGGGTTAAAAATGATATCAAGGAAACGGTTGCAGAGCAGAACCTGCTCCTCGGACAGGAGGAAGCTGTGAAGAACCATGCAGGTAACTCTAAGACAACATCTGTTGGGCTCCTTGTAGAAAGAATTGAGGTGAGGGTCTCTCTGTCTGATGGATCTTGGAATATAGTAGCCCCCTCCGATCAGACCTGCTGGGCACCTCTGGGGATACCATAACTGTAGACCAGGCTGGGGAGCCAAGAAGATCCCTCAGAACTAGCAGAAGCAACAGTCTGCTGCCGTGTTCTCGCCCAGAGATCGCCGGGCATTAAGTTTGACTCGAGGGAGATTTCACTGAATGTCTCTCGGGAGCTGCCGGTTTGAGCTGACTTTTCCCAAGATTGATGTCAGGCTGAACTCACAAATGACACAGAACAGGGGGGGGTCAAACTCGATTTCATTGAGGGCGGCATCAGGGTTGTGTTTGACCTCGGGGGCCAGGCGGGCATGGCCATCTCGATGTCACTTGTGTTGGGGGCACCCTCCTGGGCTCCGTTTTCGGCTGCGATGGCCTCCTGCAGCACTCTGCCAGTGAAAACGGAGCTCGGGAGGGCCAACCTGACAGGACTGTCGCCAAGCTGGCAGAGGCACCGTGGGCTGGCCGTTCGCTGTTTCGAGGGCGGCCCTGTGGGTGAAATCTAAGCATGCCTTGAGTTTGACACCCCTGACATAGAGTAATCTAGCCAGAGTTCCTTATTTGCTTGGACACAATTGACCAGGGGTCTTCAAACTTGACAGCTTTAAGACGTGTGGACTTCAACTCCCAGAATTCCTCCTCCAGTCATGTTAGCTCAGGAATTCTGAGAGTTGAAGTCCACACATCTTAAACTTGCTAAGTTCGAAGACCTTTGCAATAGACAGGCTCTTGCTAGATTAAACTTTTATTATTCCCACACTGATGGAGATATCCTGGAAGATTCTAGGGAGGGGCTGTCCTTATTCTCTGTCCAGCTCTGACCGTTGCTTCTTCTTGCCTCCCTCACCTTTCTGGAAGATGCTCCCTTTGACCTTCCTTAGCTGCTTCCTATCACTGACCCCCCCCCTTTCCCCCTCCCATGACCAGTCAGGTTTAAGCAAGATGTTTTCAGAATGGTCGTTTGAAGGGTATGCAGCTGCATGCTTCTCCCAGCTAGGTGACCCTGAAGCAGCAGGGAGATACAGCAAGTAGCTTTTTTTGGGGGGGGGATAAAAGTTACTTTCACTCTCCCCCAAGCATCCCCCCTCCCCATAGTTTATGGCAGACTGACTACATAAGAAGCATAAGCGGGTGTGAGGTGGAGGCTGACAAGCACGTTTATTGAAACTGTGGTCTCTGACCGTGGCCACTTCAAGACTTGTGGACTTCCAACTCCCAGAATTCAACTCTTGGGAGTTGAAGTCCACAAGTCTTCAAGTCGTCGAGGTTGGAGACCCCTGCATTAAAAGACGGAGCTGTACTCCGTCGGATGCAAAGTAGCTGGGCTGATGCTGGGCTTCAGGAAGGGAAGATGCAGGTTGCCCAGAGTGCAAGTAATCACAAAGTTGTTCTCTCGATTCCTCAACCCGGACGGAGTCGATGCATTGATAGGCTGTGTGTGTGGGGCAGCTCGGCTGACGTCTCTTGAAGAAGAGGCTTTTGCAATTCTCCTTTTCTAGCCTTCTATCCCTTTTATGCTCTGGATCACAGATGCTCGATTCTGCTGAGTTCTTTGCTCCCCAGGGGGAAAGGAGCTACCCAGGGACTTTGTCCTTTCAGGAAACCTCAGTCAACTGTCTCCCGAGGAGGGTCAGGCCGGGATTTCCTGCCCCGGCAGCACCGCAGAGACCACGCCGGTCCTCTTTAAGTCCGGAGCCTGTGAAGGCAGCTTGCCAGAAACGTCAGATTCCAGAAGAGCCCATCAGCCTAGCCGAAGGGTGCTCTTTGATTCTGCGGAGCCACCTCTGGCGAGGAACAGCAGCCTGCACTCAACCGGCGGACGTGGCAGAGAGCAGCGAGAAGGGCCTTCTTTGGCCACATGGGGAGAAACGGCGTGGGAGGCGCATCGGAGAGAGCCTGAGAGGGCCACAGAGCAAGGCTGGGAGTCTCCAGGCTTTAGGAGAAGCAGCAGCCTCTTGGACCCCGGCCAGAGGAGCCCCCCCAAGTCCTCCCTGCGGGCTAGCCCAGGAGGGAGTGGCGATGTGACTCCTGCAATGTCAGACCGAGGCTCTGAACTGGGCAGGCGGATGCAAACGGATGTTCCTGCGGCAACGCAAGAACTTCCTTGTTCCCTGCCACAAGCGAGTCAAGGGTCCTGCCATGAGCCTCCGAGCCAACAAGAGGGTGTTTCCGGTCTGGGGGACTTGGCTGCTGGGAGCAGGTCCTTCTGGGCCAGTGTGCGGAGCGAGGAGCAGCCTGGGCAGGGGTGCGAGGAAGGTGCGGGAAGCTTGCCGGTGACCCCTGACGCTGCTCGAGGAGGCAGAGCTGTTGCCGATTGGCTCAGAGACGACGGGGAGCCCCCCAGGAGGGAGACAAGCAGGGAGGACGAAGGGCACAGCCTTGAAGCGGGGTCAGCCCCCCTGGGAGGGGTCACCCCCAGTGAGGAGGGGCTGAGCTCTTGCACAGTGGTGGAGGGACTCATGTTCCCCTTGGAGTATTACGTGCGCGTGACCCGGAGGCTCTCCAGGCGCCAGAAGGAGGTGAACTTGGAGGCGGTTGTCCAGAGCCAGCTGGGCAAGGGCAGGAAGGGCCGGAGAGGCCCCCACAAAGGGCAGGGGGGGAATCCGGCCCAGCCGCCCCAGGAGCTCCCCAAAAGGGACGACCGGCCGAGCTCAACTCCCAGGATGCGAGGAGATGCTTCTGGGTCTCCACCTCGCTCTCCCGAGAGCGGCGGGTCTGGCCAGGGCAGGAGGGGCCGGAGGCTGAGAAGGAGGACCCAGCAGAGGACTTCCTTCAGCACAGGTCAGTTGGAGAACCCGGAAGGGTCACACACACCCCACCCCCGCCAGAGCCTTCGTTGATCCTGCAGAGGGATTTCCTAGGGGGCTCGCGTGGAGGCCAGGCAGCCGCGCTCACTCACCCTGGGGCAGCTGTTGGCCACGTGGGCAGCAAGCGAAGGGGCTGGAGGGGCCAGTGGCCAGCCTGAGCCCGGGGGTGGTGGTGGTCTGAGCCTCAGGTGGTCCAGAGTTCTTCACCCAGAAACCCAAGAGGTGGTGGGGAACACTGCCTTCTCTGCAGGGGAGCCACCTGGGATCCCCCTGGCACTGATTCCAAGCAGGCCCCGTAGGGTGTGGCCCTTTCCGTCCCTGGTGGTCTCTCTGAGGTGCAGGACAAGGGGATTTTCCCACTGTCAGCGTTCCAGGAAACCTCCACTCCAAACAAGAACAACTCTGAGACAGGCATCTTCTCAAGCATTCTGTTTTAATTGGATAGTAAACTGGCACAACTGGGGAATCCTGAATCTGAAAGTTCTGGGCTTCCTTGCAATAAGTAAAGAACTAGAAATCCACCCCCTGCACCCATCATCGAATCACATGCCCCAATCACCATCCGTCCCAACTTGAGACGTCCCCTCACCCAGGTGCAGAAATCACATGACCTTGAATTAGAAAAAGAATGCTATTATGTCCAACCACATACGCTTCCAAGAAATTCCCCCCTCCCATTTCCCTAGGGTCAAGAATGTGGCAGTGTGGACTATGGCTTCCAAAGCTGACAGGCATCCCCCCTTGAAAAAAATCACGTCCTGAAAAATACAATAAACAAATCACAACAAGAGGTTAATGCATTGTCCCCTTAACCCCCTCTCCCCCCCCCCTCCGAGGACCCTTTGGCTTGTTGGGGAATTTGTCATGAATTTGTTTAATCAATCTATCTGCGTGTGTATCCCAACTTTTCACCCAAGTAGCTTCTGACAAAAGCCTTTCCAGAGCACTGTGCAAGCGTCTGGTCTCAGTATGGCTTCCAAAGCTGACACCCACAGGATGTCCCAGGTGGCCTTCCTGCAGGGCTTACTCTGGGCGGGGAGTAGAAGATTCCTTGTGCCTAGGGCAGAGCTTCCCAGGCAGGCTAAATGGATCCTTACTTTCCCAGGACTCCCTCGGGTGGCGGGTAGGGAGCATATTGGGAGGTGGGATAAAAAGTCGCCATCTTATAGTTGCAAATAAAGGCACATGCAGCGCACCAGCCTTGGGTGTCGTTCGAAGACTGAGCAGACCTCCAAGCCGAGGGTTTTCGGAGGCCTTGGGGACGGGTCTCCCTAGGAGTTGCCGAGAGGAACGAGGGGCGGCCTTTGAAGTCAATCCTTCGGGGGCTCAGAAATCGAAATTTGGGTCTTGCAAGGTTCTTTTTATTATTATTATTTAAACAATTTTCTCATACATCATCATTTCCATTCATTGCAACACTTCCGTGAGAGTGTACATACTTTTACTGTACATAAATCTGTACGTTTGTACTATCTGTACATTTGTCTATATTCCCTAATCCATCTCTGTCCACTATAACATTTACCTTGTTGTCTTATTGTCCTATTCTCTATTCATCTCTATATTATTTAGCTGATCATACAATGCATTTCACGTCAAGCAATAATCCGTTTTTTCTCTGTCTTTTATCTCCATGGTCAACTAATCCATCTCGGTACACTCTAATATCCCTTTTATCACATTTTTCTCTAGTGCAGAGGTCTCCAAACTTGGCAACTTTAAGACTTGTGGACTTCAACTCCCAGAATTCCTCAGCCAGCATAGCTGAGGACTTCTAGGAATTGAAGTCCACAAGTCTGAAAGTTGCCAGGTTTGGGGACACCTGCTCTAGTGGCATATTATCCTTTTTCCAATTTTGTGCGTACGTTATTCTTGCCGCTGTTAATAAATGCAGCATTAAATATTCTGTTTTCTTACCTTGTTATTATCCCTAATAGAAAAGTCTCAGATCTTAGTTCAGTTTGTTGTTTAATTATTCCTTCTATACATTTTTTTTTTGTCCTTATCCAGTACTTCCTACTACAGGGCGTGTCCACCACGCGTGGTAATATGTTCCTTGCTTTTGTTTGCATTTCCCGCATTCGGATGATCTGTTTGGGAACATTTTGGCTAATCTAGCAGGGGGTAGATGTATAAATGTCCTTCCAAGGTTCTTTTTATTTGTTCCACATTTGCAGGCAGCCCACCAGCAAGCTCCCCAGGTCTGGCTTCTCCTGCCCTCTGGATGGTGGAGGATTCTCCTGCTCCTGCAGCCTTGCCTCTCACCCCCCTGGTTGGGCAGGGGTCCCGCCTCAGCTGGCTGCCTCCCGGCCTGCTGCCTCAAGAGTTCCACCTGCCCGAGGAGGATTTCGGCCACCTGAAATCCAAGAAGCTCAAAGTCTGTCCCGAGAAGCCACTGGGGGCCTGGGATGCCGGGGGGTCCAGCAAGAGTCCTCCCAGACCCCCCGGGGAGGCTCCTCTCGAGGAAGGAGCAGCGTTGGGCCAAACCCTCCTGTCCGGGATGAGTGGGGGCTCCTCCGCTCTTTCTTCCCGTGAGCTGCTCCTCTCCCCGGCCTTGGAGGCTGGACAGAGCCTTTTGCAGACCCCTAATTTTCCCCTGGTGGGGGCAACCCCGGCTCCCCTGCAGTCCTCCCCAGGCGCCCCTGGGGCCTCTCTTACGCAAGCAGCGGTGGCAGCGTCTTCCGACCCAGGAAGGGGCATCGGGTGGCCTTGTTCGCCAGCTGGCATCGGCAGGAAGGCCCAGGAAGAAGCCGCCAGCCCATCGCAGAAGCCACTTGAGCGTGACAAGGAGCCCCCCAGGCAGGTAAAGGGGGTGCATCTGGGAGACCCAGCTAGCTGAGGTGAGACAACCACCTGGGGGAAGGCAAAGAGGGCCGCAAGGACAACCTTTGTACGCTGTGGAGCCTGTCTCCTTGCTTGCACCCTCCTTGGCTGCCCCCCCCCCCCCCCCGGGTACGGCATCTCTAGGTTGTGCCTGGCCTGGTTCCCCACAGGAGGCCATCCCTCTTCTCTCTGTCTCTCCCTTCTGGCCGCGGTTTTCCCCTTCTTTTGACCCAGTGGCCACTTGGCCGGTCATTCTGCTCTGGCTTATTCCTCAGTCTGTAAATTTTACTCCCTGCGTGGGCCTCGGACTCTCCGCTTATGATGGTCAGTGGCCCCCACCTGACTTTGTCAGCTGCCCTCTTTGTCCAGCAAACTGACCTCTTGGAGCAGCTGATTCCCCTGCTGGCATTTTAGAACTCCTCCCTGACCCGTGCTAAAGAATTTAATTTGGGGACTGGACTGGCTTTTCTGCACAAAGCATGTTTGCCCTCGGAAGTGGTGGGAGCTTCATCCCTGGAAGCTCTGAAGAAGAGACTGGACTGCCCTCTGTCAGAAATGGTGCAGGGTCTCCTGCTTGGGCGGGGGGTTGGACTAGATGACCCACAAGGTCCCTTCCAACTCTGTTCCTCTGTTAGGGTAGCAGACGGCTACAGTTCGAAGTATTGCATGTGCTGGGCCACCTTTTCCAAGGAATTGAGTTCGGTTGGGGAGCGTTCCTGCTTGCCACCAGCCCAAATGAAGCAAAAGCCCTCCAGCAACGGAGCCTTTGCTGTGGTGCGGAGGGAGCTGGGATCCAGGGTGCAGCTGCTTCCCAGAGGGCCCTGCGGGAGTCTGACCTGACAGGCATCATCTCTTGCCCTTTGTCTCCACAGAGCGGCCCAGCAAAGGAGGTCCAGGTGGAGGCACCGGCGGACACTCTGAGAGAAGGACACTTGAAAATGACTTCAAAAGTGAAGGTTAAGGGAGAAAAAAATGGTTTAAAATTCTCCAGCATTTTTGTGACCCTGATAATGGCGTGTTTGTGGTATCCATCCTGCCCTGGGGGAACATGTTTGTCATGCCCCTGTTGGAATCTGATTCCGAGGGAGAGGCGGAACAGCCGACAGGGAGTGGGAGTGGGGCTCCGGTGGCTGTGGAGGAGGCCGGGGAAGGGCACAGGCCAGATGGGCATTCAGAGGAAGACCCAGGCCAACCCCCTCTTCATCCTAGGGCACGCAGGGAGGAACGGAGAAGGGAGCAACGGGAGTTGCGTGGTTTATGGGGGAGGAAAGGGCCCTGATCCCCTTCCTTGGCTGCAGCTGGGAAGACTGTTTAAAAGGGCAAACTCTGCACAGCAAAGTTGCTGGAAGCAAAGCATGGAATTATTCTGGTTTGTCAAGTCTTACCTGAGTCCTGGCGTCCTCCCAAGTGTGTGTGTTTTGTTATCTTTTGACATCTTCAGTCCCTTATCCTGCCTTGTCTCATTAATTGCTGCAGCATGGTTTGTGTTGGTTTTTATTTATAATTTATGTGTACTTTGAGTTTGGATGGAATTTCTTCCTTTTAAAACCTGTTTTTGGGAGTTTTCCCTTCAGCCAATGATAATTGGACATTGGAGGCCAAGTTGGAGGAATTAAAGGGACTTTACCTACTTTTGTGACTTGGGTGCTTTCGTGCTACGGCCCTTTGGGTCATCACAGTGTTTCCTCTTGAAGCAGAACCTCCGGCGGGGTGTTGGGCTTTATCTTAGGGGCAGCCATACCACACCTGGGCGGGCTGTGCCTTTGACTGGGCTGGCGCTGCAGCCGAGCGGCCATTTGGCTTTCCAGCAGCAGCCCAGCCCTTCCTTGGTCCTGTGACAGGATCACCAGTGGCCAAAATGTGATCACATGACCATGGGGGGGGGTTGCTTTTGGATCTGGGAATCTGGGTCATACCTTTCGTGGCATCCACTGTATCTCCAGTCAGTCTCTGAGTGACTGGTTGTAAGACAAGGACTCCCTGCAATGTCTCGTGAAACGTAGGCCACGAAAGCATTTTCAGAGCAGGGCAGCAGCTCCGTGGCAGCTTTCAAAGCGTTCGGTCGGAGGCCAGAGCAAGAAGTCCTAGCGGGCGGGGTCCCTCTGGCGAGGCAGGGCCTTCATGGGTCGGTGGGCCAAATCTGGTGGGAGGAGATGCTGGGCTGTGGCCCCGCAGGGGACACTCTGGCCCCGTCCATCCGGTCAGCTCTTGCCAGCCCCGGCTCCTCCATTCATTCTGCCTCCCCCGGCTCTCCCTCAGAACGGCTCCGGCTCCTGCTTGGTGGACATGAGTGCCGTGTGGTGGGAAGGCACTGACTTCGCAGAATTGTGTATGGTGACGGCCGAGGAAGCGTCCATCTCTCTCTGGAGGCCTCTGGAACCTGGCCAGTGGGGGACGGTGCACACCTGGCACTTTACAAAGGTAGGCCAGGCTGCTGGTGCTCCCGCTGGCATGGGTGGCACTGCCCTGGGCCTGCTGCTGGCGGGGGTCCTTTTACCACCCAGCTGCAGTCTTTTCGACCTGAAGACTGGTGAAAGATTTGGCACCCCCCCCCCCCCCCCCCCGACCAAAGTTGTGGGTGTTGCTTGCCTAGGGGTGCATTTAAGGCAAAGGTCTCCAAACTTGGCAAGTTTAAGACTTGCGAACTTCAACTCCCAGAATTCCTGAGCTAACATGACTGGAGGAGGAGGAATTCTGGGAGTTGAAGTCCACACGTCTTAAAGCCGTCAAGTTTGAAGACCCTTGCTATAAAGGTATAAGCTAATTTTGTATTATGCTATAATAAAAAATTGATTTTTTTTATATAAATGAATGGGGGAAAAGGCTAACCCTAAAACCCAGCATGTAGTTCTTGGCTGCAACTGCTCAGTGCTGGACCCTAGTTCTCCCCCCTCCCCCGCCCGACTCTGCAGGCGACTCTTGCAGGTGGGCTGCTGGAGGGGGAGCTCTGGGTGGCCAGGTAAGGCGGAAGTCACTGGGCAAGGTGTGGAGAGCAAATCGGTGATCAGCCCACTGCGAGTGGCTATGTGAGAACCAGGCGTCCTTTTGTCTGGAGTGGGTCCTTGCAGTCATCTGCACACAGGTAGTCCTCGACTTTACAATAGTTCATTGAGTGACCGTTCAAAGTGGCAAACAGCACTGGAAAAAGGTGACTTATGGCCATTTTTCGCACTTACGACATTTGCAGCATTGGCCTGGGCATGGGATCTGCTTTTGCGACCTTCTGACAAGCAGAACCAACGGGGAAGCTCGATTCCCTGACCAACCGTGTTATTAACTTAACAGCTGCAGGGATTCACTTAACAAATGTGGCAAGAAAGTTCCTAAAATGGTGTTCTGACCAAGGCTTCCTAGACCGTAATTATGCACATGCTTATTTTAAAAACAAGTCTTATTTTATTGCAACGCTGGGAATTGTTTTCATTCCCAGCCGGTAATGAATCTCAAAATAGTCCCTCAAGATAAGCATCTACCTTTCTTCCCTGTGAAGTGCTGCCAATAACAGACGTGTCAAACTAGAAAAAAAAACCAACCGAAGTATAAAGAACTTCAAGAATGAATCTGAACCAAACAAACAACTTTGCTTCCTGCAAAGGTTTCATCATCTTTGTCTATTCTTTATCCCTTATGGGAGGGGCAATCACCTCCCAGCCTTACTCCCAAGTTGCCCCTTTTGTCTCAACTGCTCTCACCTAGCAGCTCTGCACATGCGTGCTCTGGGAACAGGCTCCCCCTGTTTCTCTGCCTCGCTGCTGTCAGACTCCGGAGGCTCTGGAATCAGCACCCCACTCCCAGGTGGTGCTGGCCCCATCCCTGCATTGGATGCAAGACCCTTGTCTGAGTCCTCTCCAGACTCCCAGGCTGGTCCCTGTTCTTCCCCACTGTCCAATTCTTCTGCCGGCGAACCACAACAAATGAGGCAAGGCTCACTTAACAGATGTTTTGCTTACCAACACAAATTTTGGGCTTGGCTCTGTTGAGGGCTACTTGTATGGCCTAGTTATGGCCCTAAGCAGAACCGTCAACGCTGCTGTGTATCTGTGTGCAGTGCTGGGAAGGTTGGCGGGCCAGGGGCCCCTCTGCTGCTTTCGGTATTCAGGCTGTGTCTGGCCCAGGAGGGAAGGGCTGTCGATCCAGCTGTTCTCTTTTCCAGCTTCCAGTTCTTCAAATAGTTCCCCTGTCGGGAGCTCACAGCGTGGTGTGCGCAGTGCTGGGGCGCCTGGAGACAGCTGAGATAAGGCAAGTGTGCATGACGCCTTTTAGCGTGACAGAGTTTGCCGAGGTGGCAAAACCGACTGCTCTGATTTAAGGACACAATTAACTTTCCATGTACCAGAACGGGACTTCTGCCATGTCTCTGTGCTGGGGTGGGGTGGAGAAGTACAGCTGGACGTGGTCAGCACGTTGATGCTCCCTCCCCCCGAGCTGGTGGGCGCCTTTGGTGGCAGGACCTTCTGTGAAAGACTCCCAGCGCCCAAATTTGCCATTTATATAGATCCAGCATTGCCAGAGCCTGTTTTCACTTCACAATTGCATGTTGGTATTTTTATCAGTGTGTTACTCCCAGCATGGAACTACATCGTGCTGTCCTCGATAGTCACATGTTAACTGGCTTTGTTGTTGCCCGGTAAGTAGACCTGAGATCATAGTGGACTTCTGTTTCCTAGGCTTTTGTTTGGCTGTGCTGAAGAGGAGCTGCTCAAAGCTGGAAACATAAACGCTGTCCTTGGTCTGGCCGATAGGAAGCTGGTCAGCAGCTGTTGGTCACTACAAGGTCAAGCAGTGGAAGTCTTCTCTTTCTCTGAGGTGGGAAGGTGAGAAGTGATGCTGGTTTTCTAGGGTAAGCCTCTTTGGAAAGACCACCAGTCCAGAAGGCCTCTAAGAAATAGATAAAATCAATATAGCGTGGAAAGAAATCGAACTCGGGATTTGGTCTGGACAAAGGTGCAGGCAGGTAATACTTTTGCTGAGCGTGTTGGCAGTAAGCTCGTTTTCCATCCTATAAACAGAGTGCTGAAAATCAGGAGAAGCAGTTGGTTTTGCAGGAGCCCCAAGAGGCAGGTTTGGATGATCTCTTCCCTCACGCCATGGCTCTGCTAAACACCTCACTCCCTCAGCACTGTCTTATGCCTAAAGATATGTCAGCTTTGGAAGCCTTATTAGCACCAAAATGCTTCCACGTTGCCACATTCTTGAGCCTGGGGAAACGGGAGGGGGGAATTTCTTGGAGGGTATGTGGCTAGACATAATAGCATTTTTCTTCTAAGTCAAGGTCATGTTATTTCCGCACCTGGATGAGAGGACGTCTCAAGTTGGGATGGATACTGATTGGGGCATGTGATGCAATGAGCGGTGCAGGGGGTGGATTTGTAATTTTTTACTTATGGCAAGGAAACCTGGAACTTTCAGATTTGGGATTTCCCAAGTGTGCCAGTTTACTACTCTAGTAAAAAGAACCTTGGAGAGGATGTCTGTCTCGGAGTTATTGGTTGGAGTGGAGGCTTTCTGGAATGCTGACAATATATATTCACCCAAGTAGTACGGCTGTATTTCTCTTACCCTTCTCATCTGTCCTACTACCTTCTCCCGTTGGTATCTTACGATTTATCACTCGTTTCTATCTTATGAATTATGATTCTACCTTGCGATTTATGATCGATGACTTATCACTTTGTTGTTTGTATATACACTGAGAGCTTTTGCACCGGAGACTAATTCCTTGTGTATCCAGTCACACTTGGCCAATAGAGTGTTGTGTTGCGTTTTGTTCTCCTCTGCTCTCCGCTCCTTTTCCATCCTATAAACAGAGCGCTGAAAATCCCCCGTATGTGTTTCAGGAGCCACCAGCGTTGGGCTTTGAAGCCCCCGGAAGAGACCGTCTTGGCGTTTGCCGATGTGGCTGGACTGCAGGAGGCTCTGCTTGGAATGACCGCCATGAACTGCATCGTGCTCTGGTGAGCCCAGGGGCTGCTCGGTGGAACTTTCCCCCGTCCCAGCTGTTTCTCCTCATTAACATTCTGACTCAGCCCTACAAAGATAACACAGTAAAAACGTATGAATAAACTATATTGCTATTGCAAAAAAGGAAGGCTCAGGGCATACATGGAAAAACGTAAAACTAACTAAAAGGGGCAGAGGAAGAGAAGAATTAGGAATGGGAATAGAATAGAATAACAAAATAGAATAAGGAATAGAGCGGAGAGTAGAGTAGAATAGAACAGAACAGAATAGAATAGAATAGAATAGAATAGAATAGATATTGGAGAATAGAATAGAATAGAATAGAATAGAATAGAATAGAATAGAATAGAATAGAATAGAATAGAATAGAATAGAATAGAATAGAATAGAATAGAATAGAATAAGGAATGGAGTGGAGAGTGGAGTGGAGTGGAGTGGAGTAGAGTAGAGTAGAGTAGAACAGAACAGAACAGAACAGAACAGAACAGAATATTGGAATGAAGAATAGAGTAGAATAGAATAGAATAGAATAGAATATGCTGGAAGGGACCTTGGAGGTCTTCTAGTCCATTCAAGCAGGAGAACCTATACCATCTCAAACAAGTGACTGTCTAGAGAGGCTCTTCTCAAAAGCCTCCACTGAAGGCAAACGGTTCCACTGACTTCACTGTTAGGAAGTTTCTCCTTAGTTCCAGGTTGCTTCTTTCTTTGATGAGTTTCCATCTGTTGCTGTTTCTCCTGCCCTCTGGAGCTTTGGAGAATAATTTGACCCCCACCCCCCCGCTTCTTCTTTGTGGCAGCAAAGAAAGAAATTCAGAAATCGGAATTAAACAAAAATTCTAAATATTATCTTGTCCAACCTTGCCTCTCAGTTGAAATTCAGTATTTGAATATTGAGAGTTGACATGTTCCATTGAACCAAAATAAGCATCTAATTCACTGCATCCATATGACATTTCTTCAAAACTAAAAAGCTCCATTTTAGATGATAGTTTAGCAATGCAGGGAGGTGTGTGAGAACCTTAACTTCCTTCCCGGAACCTAGTTCCTAACAGCAATCATAAGATTGCTCCATCACTGGAGGTTTTCGAGATGAGATTGGACAGCCATTGAACCAGGATGCTGTAGGCCTCCTGCCTTGGGCAGTGGGTTGGACTAGATGACCTCCAGGGTCTCTTGCAGCCCTAGGATTCTGTGCTCTAACTAACAAGGAACTTCCGCCAGATAGGACCATAACACCTGCAGCATAGAAAGGACGACAGCTCGCCTTTTTTGAACGTCCTTTGCAGAGTCCAGCAGATAAGAAAAAAATATTTGTGCCGAATCAAATGAGATTTCTAAATTCCATTTGATTACAAAGGGAGAAATGAATTAGGAAAACGTCTTTAATTTGATTCATTCATATTAAAAAGGAACAGAACCTGAACTTATTTACTGGAATCCCTGCGACTGCCTCTATATACGGAATGTCTTGAGAGCGTCCCTCTGACATTCTGCACTGCCAGCAGACTTGTTTGGGGTGCCTGAAAAACTCAGAATTGGACCTGAGAGACCCGGCCTTCCTTCCTGGTGTCAGGCCTGCCCTACCGTAGGCATTTAGGAAAGAAAGACCATTTGGTTGAAACGTTGGGTTCTTTTACTCAAGTGAAGTGGTTGCAGCGAAAGTGAAGCTAGATCTGAAGATTCCTGCATGAAGCTTATAATTTTTCCCGTTTCCCTCCCGCTCCCCCCATGACCATCTGTCCATCAGTGTCCATTTGTGTTGTGGCTCCGGGCTTGGATTCAGCTCCTGTGACTGATATGAGTTCAAGTGAGGAGGACATGGCAGAAAAATATGAGCCAGCATGGCTCAGTGATTGGACTGGTAACCAGGATGAGGAGATGGAAGTGACAAAGGACGACAGACCTGATGTATTAGAATTGTCAGGACCTTTGACCTCCTCTGGTTCCTTATCTGATCAACAGCCGGGAATGGCTGACAGGGAAGTTTTGAGAGAGTCTTCTAGTGGAGATGGGAACTTGGAAAATTTGTGGTTAAATGTAAGGAACAGAAGACGGTTGAGAAGGCAAACTCAGCTGGAACGAAGGAGGAGGGCGAGAGTCAGTAAATTAGCACGTTGCCTCAATGAGTATAAAAGGACACAGCTGGGCTGGTAGAATTTTCCAGGAACAAAGTGACTATTTGAGTGAGGACGTTACAGCAAGAAGCTCTGAGACTTGAGATTTATTGCCAAGACTGGTTTGCCGGACAGAGTAAAGATTTATGCTGTGGATTGAGATTCCTGCCAGCCATTATCTTGTAAGACTTCTTTCTGTTTGATTTAATTGTGAAACGGCTGCTTTCTGTTTTGTTCGTTTGAATTTTGAAGGGGAGTCATAACACATTTGTATGCTGTTTTGATGTTTTGGAAACAACTTGGCACCTCTTGATGTAATTTCGGATTCTGTTCCCAGGCCAAGGGTCCTTGGCAGCCAGTTTATTCTGGTTTGGCACTTCTGGTTCTTGCCAGCCTGTCTCCCAATCCTTCCTGTTCTCTCACTTCCCCAAACTCCTTCTCCTCTCCTCCCGCGGTTTATTCCAGGATGCCAGCAAAGCGAAGAAGCTGAAGGTGGCAGGCCTGACACCTATTTTTTCCTAAGGAAAGATGGAGATTCAGGGTGATCTTCCCTCTGTAGCAGCTGCCATACTTGCTTTTGTGCACAGCTAGTGCCCTCTAGGTGCTTTTACCTGGAAAAAAGATTTTGTGCAGGAGAGAGAGAGAGAGCTGGAAATCGCCCCCTTGCCCTCCCCGGTGGGTTTTGGTCCCCAGGGAGAGGGGCTCCTGAAGAGCCCAGAAGGTGCCTTGTGCTCCCCCGTCATTTCAGTCTGCTTGTGAAAGTGGGGCAGGCCTGGCTGGGAGCCGCTTAGCTGGAGTTCTGCAACCTGTGTGGAGAACTGCCTTCTTGAGATGTAGCATTAATGGGGGGGGGGGAGTATTTATTGCAGTGCTTCCCAACCTTGGCAACTTGAAGGACGGTGGATCTCAAGTCCCAGAAATTCCCAGCCAGCAAAGTTGCTGTGGTTGAGAAAAACACTTGATTTATCTGGGTTGCTTATTTGATCGATATTATATCTTTCTTATACAGCTATTGAACGAGTCAAGTGGTGCGTTTTTGAAATAGGGGGTGGGGAAACCCCACCCCCTTAATTTACCCAGTGGGTTTTGCTGCTCCTCTTCTTGCAAGCCCTCTTTGAAATGGGTCCCTGTCAGGGCTGGAGGGAGGCGACTCAGGTGAGCAGGCTCCCTTCTCCGGTCTTGTCCTGGCCAGGCAGCCAAAGGGACCTGGATTCCTGCTGCTGGAAAACTCCCCCAGAGCTGAGCTGATGGTGGCCCTTTTGCCTTGCACAGGAACCTGGGAAGCGGGCAGTTGCTGAAGAAGATCCCGGTGGGCTGGTCCTTCCCTGCGTCCGTCTGCCACAAGGCCTACTCTGATTCGGTAGGTGCCCCCAGGCCCTCTCTGGGGAAGGCGGGGAGGCCACCGGAGGGCTCTGAACTTCGTAGCCCTTGCTTTGGTTGCCGCTGAGAGCACTGATGGGGCAGGAATGAGAACGTGGGACCTGCATTTGCAGGAGCTTGGATGAGAAGGGGGTGCAACTCCTTTGGCAAGTGCAGGAAGTCCTCGACTTACACCAGTTTGTTTAGTGGCCATTCAAAGTTATAATGGCCCTGGCAAAAAAGGGACTTATGACCATTTCTTCACACTTAGCGTTTGCAGCAATCCAACCAACACACAAGTAAATAATTCAGCAGGATTCATTGATAGAAGAAACTTGTTTATATACAATAATATAAAACATGATGCATGTATACAATACCCATGCAGCTCTTGCAGCATAGTAGCAAGTACAGGAAGCAGAAGCAATCAGAACCACCAGAGCTCAGAAGCCCTATATAAAGCACAGAAGCACACCAACATATATATTGTTGGTGTGCTTCTGTGCTTTATATAGGGCTTCTGAGCCATGCCCAGGCTCTGAGCCATCTGACATGGCTCACAACAGATACTGTTTCTTAGTCACCAGACAGTTCCCATTGGCTGACTTGTTCTTATATATTACTCATAATTTCGTATACATTGACACGACCATTGTAGCATCCCCAGGGCCACATGAATAAAATTTGGATGCTAACAACTGCAGCAATTCACTTAGCAAATGTTGAAAAACGGGGTAAAACTCACTCAACAGATTTCTCATGTAACAACCTAAATTTGGGGCTCGATTGTGGTTGTAAGCTGAGGACTGCCTATACTCAGAGCTTGGCATCTGTCCAGGGAAAAGAAAGAATCACTTTTGCCAAATTTTGATCCCTCTGAGAGTCCTGTTGATAAAGCAACAAGTTAGGCAACACCATTAAGTTGCATATTGATTGCAAATTGCAAATATTGATTATATTTTTAAGCAAATTCACAGCCAGTGAGAGGGGTGGGTGGGTGCCTGAATTCTGGGTGGGACTGAAAATTCACGAATCCCTGTTCATTGGTCCCCAGGGGTCGTGTCGGTTGTGGGGCGATGCAAAGCAGGAAGCATTTGGGGGGGGGGGGCTGCACTGGGGGCCTTTTTTCATTTGTCAGATTTTCCCCTGAGGCCTGCCCAGCTGAAGATATTTGGGTGTCGTAAATATTTTGAGCTGATTTCGTAGAGGTAGGGAAACGTTTGGAAGGTCCGGGGTTTTAAGATTAATTATGTATTTAGGGAGGTTGCTTTTAAATTCTGGTATGTGCGATGGAGCCCTGGTAGCGCAGCATTGCAGGCAAACTCTGCCCACCACCTGGGAGTCAATCCTGATGGGACTCAAGGTTGACTCGGCCTTCCTTCCTTCCTTCCAAGGTTGGTAAAGCGAGGACCCAGATTGTTGGGGGCAACATGTAAATAAGGCTGACATTGTAAACTGCCCAGAAGGAGCTGTGCGGTTATATATAAGCCTAAATGCTATTGCTTCAGATCCTCTGAATAGAGAGGCTAGAAGCAGAGAAGGTTGACTTCATGTAACTGATGCATGCCGACTCTGAGCCAATAAATCATCATCTTAGGACTCACTCTATTGAATCTATTGACCAAGATATAATTGAGAGGCAGTTTGGTGTAGTGATTAAAGGGACTGGCCTAGAAAGGAGAGGACTCTGAATTCTAATCCTGCACGATGGATGAAGAGGCCTTTGTCCCAGTCTTTCTCAGCCCCAAGAAAGAGAAGACAAGAACTATTTCTGAAAAAGTTGGCAAAAGGCCCTGCGGAGACCCCTCTGGGCGGCCTCCACTGAAGGCACGCAAAGAGGGCGGGGACGCTCAGGCCGTCACCCCTCAGCTGCCCAGCCCCCTTTGTGGAGCTCCGAGTTCAGTACTGCGATGAGCCACCCCGTGAATGTGTGTGTGTGAAGCATCTTGTGCTTCTCTGACTGGTGGCAGAGCTGATCTGGGTCTCCCTGTCTTGCGCCTCAGGGCCTCCTGTTCCTGGTCTTCAGCCACCCACACGCCAAAGACAGCCAGCTGCCTGGGAACCCGGCCTTCCAGATCATGGCGCTCAACCCCAAGACCGCCAGAAGCTCTGGGGTGATGCTCTTGGCCCCGCCCCCCGGCGTCCAAGGAAGGCAAGTTGGGGAGGGAGGGAGGGAGGGAGGGCTCCTCAAAACCCAGCCCCTTGTAGCCAAATTAATTTGACGGTGGGAAACGTCCCCCTCCGCCCAGAATTAAGGTCTCCATCTAGGTGTCGGGCTTACCCCATCTTAGGAAAGAAAGACCCTCGCCTCCACCTGTAGCAAAAGATAGGCTTTTACTAAAGCCAGGGGGTCACAGCAGAAGCAAAGCCAGATCTGAATATTCCCAGTGATTTCCCCCTCCCCTGGGACCTGCCCCCTTGACCATGCCTGTGTGTCCAATAGTATTCAAATTTGGTGTTTGGGTAACCGTCTTAAGGTCTGGCACCTCTTTGGTATAGTTTCACGTTCTGTTCCTCTCACCTTGGATGCTTGGTCTGTCCTGGATTGGCACCTGTGGTTCCTGTCATCCTGTCATCCCTCCCCCTTACGTCCCCATTCTCCTACTTCTCCCCCCAGCCCCCTATTTTATGGCAGGATGCCAGCAAAGCAGGCTGAAGCGTTTACAATGGCAGCCCTGAGCAGGAGTCGCCTTGCAGAGTTTTCAAAGCCTCTAATTTTCCGGCTGAATACAGAGGCAGGCAGTTCAACCCTACAAAGGCTTCCATACAAAGTTACTTTATTGGATTATATCAGGCATCCTCACAGTTGTGCTGAGATTGATGTAATGCCCAATCCTTGCATTGTCGCCTCCATAGTGTGAAAAGATGGTTATCTTCATCCCATAGCGATACACCAAAGGAAGACTCCAGCCACGATGCTGGGGTCCAGGTAAGAATGCCCCAAAACTCCCTCAGCCCAACCAGAGGTCAATTCAGTGACTAATCAGGATTACAGATGTGACCACGTGACATGGACAACATCTCCCAAGAGGCATTAATTACATTTCCGCCTTTAGGGGGCAGCTCTCATTCCCAAACTAAATACTCTCTAACCAGCACACTCCCTGCCTGGAATTATAAATTCCACTACCAATTATCAACTAAAGTAACTTTGTCTGGAAGCCTTTGTAGTGTTGAACTGCCTGTCTCTATATTCAGCCGGAAAGTTTTCAGGTGGGCTCTGCAGCCCCGAGGCACAAACCTCTTCCCACCTCTTCAGCCCCGGGACATCCAGCAGAGCCCTCCCGTCGCAGTTCCATGATCGCAGCTTGCAAACTGCGGCACTGCCTTCTTGCCTACCCCAGGGGAGGTGTGTGATCCAGGGGCTTCTTTCCTGGCCCAGCCAGTCCTCTCGTGCCCAAGCCCGTTGTCCCCGGAGCTCAGCCAGGGCAACATTCTGGAACCCTGGTTGAACCTGATGCTCAGCCAGGCTCCGGGTGGGCAGCCTGCAGGTTAAAAACAGGCTACCAGCTGTGAAAGGCCTAGTGGCTCTTTTAGAAGAAGAAGAAGAAAATGGCAGTCAAAGGTGGTTGCTTCGAAGCAGGGGCCTTTTCCTGGGCGAGACAGCCGAGAGAGCCACGCTGCTTCTGGAGCATCGGTGCCAGAGGAGCTGGAGTGTTTGGTTAAAACAGAGGTCTCCAAACTCGGCCACTTTAAGACTTGTGGACTTTAACTCCCAGGATTCCTCAGCCAGCCAAGAATTCTGGGATTTGAGGCCCACAAGTCTTAAAATGGCCGAGGTTGGAGACTCCTGCACTGTAGTACAACTGAAAGAAGCTACAAAAAGAACACGATTGTTCCGGGAAAAACCTGTCTGCACAGGGTTTTGGCAACTTTAAAACTTGTGCAACTCTCACAATTCCTCAGCCAGACGTGCATCCACGAGCCTTAAAGTTGCCACCTTTGGAGACCCCTGAAGGTTACAACTTCAGTCTGGCGAGATTCTGTCCTTCAGGGATAAGCAAATAAAAGATTTGAAGTCCACAAGTCTTAAAGTGGCCAGGTTTGGGGACCCTGAGTTAAAAGCTACTGGACGGGCCTGAACATGGGCACTTAAACTGTATAAGTAGCCGCCTGCCTTTCAGAAATTGCGTATTCTTGGCTATTGACTCGGAAAAGAACGGCAATTGGTAGTTTCTCTCCAGTCATGGTTGGGGGGGGGGGGGCATCCAGCAAAGCAAGCACAGGAATCGTGGCCCAGGCAAACCCCCACCCCCCCCACCCCAGTGGAGGAAAGGGTTCAAAGGCAAAAAGCTACTTTTTTCAACCGCTTTCATTCCCCGCTGCCTGCAGGTGCAGAAAAGCCCCACCCGGGGCCCAGAAATGCAGTTTGGGGGGTGACCCTGCTCGGCCTTAGCCTGCCATAACCAGGTGGCCCCTTCCCTCCCTGACTCTGCCCCCTTCTCAAGGCAGCCACGTCCTTGTGGCTGGGAGAGGAGCGAGGGGCTACCCAGAGACGTTCCATTGGGGCGGGGGTCTCCCATTTACCACTCTGATTCCGCTTTATTTGACCCTCCTTTTTACACTTCTGTCCAAACCAGGGTCTCCAATCTTAGCAACTTTAAAATGTGTGGACTTCAACTCCCCAAATTCCTCATCTGGCTGAGGAATTTTGGGAGTGGAAGTCCACAAATCTTAAAAGTTTTGGGAGTTGAAGTCCACAAATCTTAAAGCTGCTGTGGTTGGAGACCCCTGGTCCAAACAACTTTGTTAATTCGTTAAATTTTATGTGCCACCCGTCTCACTGTCCCCAGTGTTCTAAATCCAAGGGTGCCCCAAGCAGGCAAGTTGATGGGGGCTCCAAATCCTGCAGTTTCCCCAAAGACTCTTTGTTTTTTCTGGCCCTTCAGATACTTGGAGCGCGACGTGAGGGGCTCTTCGGCCGCAGCTGTCCTGACATCTGGAGCCATTGCGGTCTGGGATTTATTTCTGGGGCAGTGCACTGCGTTGCTGCCCCCCAACTCTGGAGGCAGCTGGTCCCTGGTCAGGTGGTCAGTCACGGACACTTGCCTGCTGGCTGGGCAAGAAGACGGCTCGGTTTACCTCTATAGGTACTCAGGGGGGCTCCACCCCGGGTGAGAGACCTGCAGACCCCGGCATCCCGCCTTCCAACAACTCTGGAGCCAAGTCCCTCAGGGCAGTTGAGGGACACGCCAAGCTCACAATGGAGGCGTTGCGAAGTGCCCTCAGGGAGGTGGGAGTTTTGTCCAAGGGACTCAGAAATGGACGTGGTCACAATCCACCTGGGATATTTCTTCTGCAAACGGGCTAGAATTAATGGGGGCTACTGGTCTGCTAAGATTTCCCCTCTTTTGGGAACAACTGCCCTGCGCCCATTAAAAGGAACGAAACTGATAAAGCAACTGACACGATTTCCTTGACTCTTCTTGAACACGTGATGATTTTTTTTGTGTGTGTAAAATGTTAGAAATGACATGGGATAACATGGCCGTATTTCTCAGGCAGATCCAAGTACACTCCTGATAAAAAAAAAAAATTAAGCTAATGCAGAGGAACGTGTGAAGCGGCTTCTGTGTTCTGCTAGCTGGGATATTGCAGGGATGCCTAACTTTATGCCACTCTGCCTGTTGAGGTAATTCCCCCGTTAGGAGAATGATTGCACACAGGGAGACGTAGTGAGAGTGATGCTGAATAGCACACAACCAGCACACAGATACACTGAATAGTAAAATGTACGTTTTACTTCCAGTAAACGGTTAAACAAAGTCCAACAAGCAGTCCAAGTCATTCACGGTTAAAGCAGTCAGTTTTCAGTCCAGGGATAATCCAAAATCAAAGTCCAGTATCATAAACAGTTCAGTAAATAGACTCACATCAAAGCCAAGAAGAACGACGATCAGCAACAGTCAATAGGGAAAAATGCAGGAACCAAAATCAGCGAACATCAGAACATCTAGAAACAACAGAACTAACAACCCAGGTTTCTGGCTCCATCTTACGGCTGTTTGAGGAACCACACACCCAATTACAATTTTAGCATTCCCTTAAAGAGACAGTATTACATGTCTATCCTGGTTTATATATTTCCAACCCAACTGTTAGGTGACTATCAATTCCTAACACTGCCCGCCCACCCTCAGCACAAAATATAGGGAATGAGCCTTGGCCCTGGGGGCTCAGCTGCACTGCGTGCACCCCGGCTCAGAATGCCCCTGTCCATGTGGAGGCCAGAGGAAGGCAGGAAAATTACCGGATTTTAGAGTAGCTGTGGCTGGTTCTTAAACTGCCCTGCAGACAGAGTAATGGTCCATAGAGATGGACTGTGGGAATGCTGTCCTGGCCTGTTTATCTTGCCCCCAGAACATTCCTGGTTTAATCCCTGTATCTGGATCACAGCAAATTCAGCTAGCAGAAATATAGCCCATTAACAGGCTGAAAGGCAGACACAAATAAGTGGTGAGATAAAGGGGAGGACTTGAGGTCATTTATCTGTTGCCAAAAAAATGAGTTTTTCAGCACCTCTGGCCATGCTACCGTGTATAATTGGCAGGAACGGGTCCCCAAAGAGACAGCCCCTTTGGGCTATTCCAGAACTGAATAATCTGGACCTCAGGTGATCCCCATCCTGCATTGGTGCTGGATGGGGATGAGGAAGTCAACATTCCCTTCTCAAGAGCTCCGTGTGCCAAACCGCACACAATGGGTCGTACCACTACATTGGCACCACGTCTGCAGGGGGGAATGTAATTTGCCTCTTTTAGGTTCACACTGCAGCATAACACCTACTTGTCCGATGTATTGTGTAGTCCAGGGGTCTCCAACCTTGGCAACTTTTAAGACTAGTGGACTTCAACGCCCAGAACTCCCAGAAGTTGCCGAGGTTGGAGACCCTTTGTCCTCAATGTGGTTGGGATGTGGGTTTTTTTAAAAAAATTTTGAAGTGCTAATTCCCTATGTCCGAGGTCTCCAAACTTGGCCACTTTAAGACTTGTGGACTTCAATAGCTGGATGGAGAATTCTGGGAGTTGAAGTCTTAAAGTGGCCTAGTTTGGAGGCTTCTGCCCTGAGTGTTTGTTCCCAACGCAGCATTGAGCTTCTGTGGGTGAGGAGACAGTTTCTGTGTCCTGCTTCTTGCTGACCAGTCTCTATACGGCCATTGAATCCTCTTTTTTTGACTGACCAACAGTTTATCCAGCAGTAGCTGCATCAGCTTTGCAGAGAGAGCCAGTGAGTAACGGTTGGGCCACGGCTGCCCTCTGCTTTGTCCACAAGTCAACTTTGTCCCCTAGTCTGTTCACGTACGGATTTGACTCCATTGTTGTTATTATTGTTATTATTATTAGTTAATCTTTAGTGAGATTCACAGCCTTTGGGGCTGGTTGGTAGCTCAACAGCTCAAGTCCTAACCAAGGACCTAGGAACTGTTCAGGTAGCGTCGGGAGGATATAAGCTGTTCCAAATAGGGTGGGTTTTTTTTGTAGAATCAGGGTATTCAAGTCTGATAAATTCAGAATTTCCAAATAGCGAGGTAGCCCTTTAGGTATTGCTCCAAGGACTCCCAATTACAATTATTATTATTAATTGAATTTATACTGCTGTCTATTTGCCCATGGCGACTCGAGGCAGCTTACAGAATGAATACGTATACACACACACACACCAATAAAAACTAATAAAAAGAGTCAAATAAATGAATAAAGTACAATAGAAGAAAATCTGGGGAAAATAAATTACCCACCTCCACCCCGATATGCCTCACTGAGGCTTAGAAATCATTTGACTCAATTGTCTTGGCTGAGCAAGTACAATCTGCACCCGTTTTCTCTCACTTCCATTCCAAGTGAGTGGCATCGCCAAGGTGTTTACTTCCCCTAAAGTTGCCCATTATGTGCCGCTGCCTCTGCTCTGCACAGGGGGGAAGTAATGTGGGGCTGTCAGCCCGACCCACCTCACAGGGTTGTTGTAGGAAAATAAGCAGGAAATAGGTTTGCCACAGCGAGTGATTTATAATCATAAGGGAATGTAAATAGCATCCAGGAAATGGTGGATGGGAATGAAGCAAGCAGTGTGTACAACATCCCTGCAGTGCAGGCCAGCCTGGTTCCTTAGTGCTTTATTATACAGGTGTATTGAAAGGAAAATCCATCCGGTTCAGTTCCAAGCTGAGAGGAAGACGCTGGAAATAAAATGGAGGCCGACTGGAAAGGAGGTCCATTGATTGAGGAGCAGAACCACCAGGGGCAGCTGACCAGAGGGCTGAATGAGTGGATGGATCTTCATGGTTTCTGTCGCTTTGGGGTTTGGGCCATATGGGCTTTGTGTCCTGAAAGGGGGTTGGGAAATTCTTATTGTGGCCAATGGCTATGTCCTGTGTCAGGTTTTTGGGTGAGGGGCTGCTTGCTCTAATCTTGCCCTCTGCTTTTGTTAGCTGTCAAACTTTGCTGAAAGGGGTCTTGAAATATCCTGTCTTGAATGGACTTTGCTTTGCTTATGAATGGAGCCATCTAGACAATTGATTTCCTCTTTCAATAAACTCTTTATCTCCTTAAGTGATGGCATCTGCTGTGGGCTAATTAAGAAAGATTGGGGGCTGCTTTCTGCCTCTAAAACTGTTTCTCCATTTCTTCTTTTGGGAAATATAATATTCTGCCTTTTTTAATATTTCCCAAAATATTTTTTTTTGCGGGGGGGGGGGGGGGGCTTCCCACAGGCGGCTGGAGGGACAATGACTTTGTCTTGGGGGTCTCTCGGGACCCATCGGGTTCTGCCATCCGAGGATTCTTGTATCGGTTTCCGACGCAAAGGCTGCATCCGCATCCAAAACGGGGCGCAAGAGAGAAGAAGCCGCTCGGCGGGGCGAGCCCTCCCCCCTCCCCGCAGCGGGCTCTGAGCGGGCAGAAACTGCAACATTGTGGCCGACCTTGCAACAGTTGCGGCCGGCCGGCCGGCCGGCTTTACTCCGGGTCTTATGCACGCGCGTCGCTGCTGGCACCGGATTCACACGTGACGAGGTTCCCCGCCGAGGGAGGGGGGGGGACCGCCGCGAGGCCTGCCGGGAAGGAGCCCCCGCCCCCCCCGCGGCGCAGAGGGCGCATGCGCACAGGGTGAAGATGGCGGCGCGTGTGCTGCTCCGCGCCGCAGCCGGCCTCCGTGGCCAGCGCCGCCGCCTGCTCGTCCTCCCGCTGGGCGCGCCGGGGCCGGGAGTCAGGCGGGGCCTGGCGGGGGCGGCCTGGGCCGGGGTGCAGCAGCTGCCCGCTCCAGCCCGGCGGCGGCGGCCTCCTCCTCCTCCGTGGGTCCGGGGCTACTCGGACGCGCCGACGCTGACCTTGAAGAGCATCCACGACCAGGTGCTCTACGTGCTGAAGCTCTACGACAAGATCGACCCCGAGAAGGTGGGGAGGGGAAGGGGCGCCCGGGGGGAGGGGGAGGGGGGG